CCCTTTTGGGCTATTACCGTTATTGGGATATTCTATGATGCCGTAGCGGAAATTTCTGTTTTCGGCTATGGATCCAGGGAAGTAAAATTTCTGTTCTTGCCGGTATTGTGATATTGTCTTGTGCTATGATTTTATGGACAGATTTAACTTCATTCATTATTAATTCCAAATAACGCTATGTCCTCAGATGTAGAATGCAATTCGTTATTTTTAAAGTCCAAGGAAAAATTGTATTTCCTTAGAAAGTCCAATCCGAGTATGCAAGAATCAGTGATCTCTGCTACATATGCCGTGTGATGGTAAGCGGCACTTCCAAACGTGATGTTAACATTTACTTTTCCATCGATGTCGATCTTCTCACCGGACACAGTCTGGAGGGTAACGCAGGGCGGCGTCCAGATACGTTTGCTTCCCAGTTGTTGAGCTAAATCTTTTCGGATGATGGTAACGTTGGCTCCTAAATCTATCGTCATATTACAGGGAACTCCATTGATATGTCCTATTATGCAAAGTCCATTACTACCGCCTCTCACTTCAGAAATCTTAAGCGCTTTAAACTGGGGCTTTTCTATTATCTGGGAACCTCCGCCCCGCGAGATGGCCACTAATTAGTTTCCCTGCTGCTTATTAGGAGCGGTCTTAGCATCCGTGCCCTGGGGTGTTCTGCAGTTTCGTCGTATGTGTCCTTCAGCACCGCAGTTCCAGCACTTAACGGTCGGTTTCTTCTCACCAATATTCCGTCTCAAGGCGTTAAGTTGTTTAATTAAATCGTCTAGACGAGCGGTGACTTGATCCCCTGGCTCCTGGATTTGAGCAGCTCTGAGTGGGTGGCGGTCTCGACGAGTGGCTTGCTGGGCTGCCTGAAATTTCATGGCGTACAATAGAGCACTTTTTAAATCTTTTACATCCGCCATTCGTAGAGCTTTCTGTATTTCAGTATCTCGGATGCCGTCGATAAAGTATTGCAAGGACAGGATTTCCCTTGTTTCTGTCGGGCATTCCGAAAAGGCGAGATGGGACAGCCTTTCAACATCCGTGGCGAGCTCCTGAAGTGTTTCGGTGGGCTTCTGTTGACGAGATTTTAATTGGAGCCTGCTGTAGTCTTTTAAGCACTCCTCCCCAAAGCGCAACTCCAAGGCGCCGGACAGAGCTTCGAAATCTAACCTTTTGTTTTTGGGAAGAGTCTGAAGGATATCCGCTGCGTCAGCTCTTAAAGAAGCGGCGAGATGACAGTCCTTAGCTTGGGAATCCCATCCATTCGCATCCGCCACGATAGAAAATTGTGTCTTATACACCATTCCAGGAGGTCTTCCCATCATATGTGGATAGCTTCAGAGGTGGACGAGCAGGCATTGGTAAGAATTTAAAATCATCACTCCTGCTCCCTGCCGACGCTACGAATTTCTTTAAAGTATTTAAGTTCTTTAAAAGCTTTTCTTTGGCAACTGCAGAAACTCTCTCATCAATTTGTTGTTCGATTTGGTGTCGGACGGCACAAACTCTTCCTTCAATTCGTTCCTCCACAGCAGAAACTCTCCCTTCTATATGTTCTTTTACAAAAGAAACTCTTTCTTCTATTTCTTCTTTCACCGAAGAAACTCTTTCTTCAATTTGATCTTTTACGGAAGAAACTTTTTCTTCAATTTGTTTAACTTTATTTTCAACTGTGTCAATTCTGCCTTCCATAGCTTCAAATTTGTTTTCTATTATGCAAGTTATTTCTCTTTTCATTTCTTCTTGACCAGCTTGAACGGCTTTCATTTCGTCCTTAACGGATTCCTGGCCCAATTTCATTTCTTCCTTAAAGGAGTAGACGGCCCCTTCCATCTTTCCTTGGCTAGATTTCATTTCTTCTTTAAACTAGGCAAAGGCTGATATCAACTGCCTTAACTGCTCTTCCATCGCTCTTGTTATTGGCATTCAAATCCCACTTCTGACACCAAAAATTGTTGCGTGCGTACGGGTTCGTTATGAAATGAATGCACAAGTCCGATGAAAAATGAACAAAAATTTATTATTATCACAACAAAAATGCTTAAATTTTCTCAAATTATCATGCAGTATTACAATATCTCACAGTAGTTTTCTTTTAACTACTCAAATGTCCAATAGAACGTAATTCAAAACAGCTAAAGAACGCTAATCTAATCCGCGAATTCGCGCCACAATCAACAAGAGCAGTTTTCTAAACAACAACAAACTAAGCAACTACTACAAACTGAGATGTTTTTCCTCCTTTTATAAGATTTTAAAATCACGCGCTAGAATTTTCCAGTACTTTCTCGAAATCAAAAAGAGATATTTATTTATTTAATGTACGCGCTCTTGTATTTTCAATTTTCCGGCTGCTTAGCTTTCTTTTAATATTCGTCACGCGCTGCACTGGGCGAGAAATAAAACGATTTAATTTATAACTGAACTAACATTAGCTTTTTAAATACCAAATTCGTAACAATATATTGTAGTTTTGAAATTAAAATATTAACAAAAACAAACAGTAATAAAATTAAATAGTAATAGACAGGTAATATAATTGTTAAGGCTATTTTTAAGGTACAAATCTCTGTCATAAAACTACGTTTTGACATCCGATAGAGTGAGATAGCACGCAAAATTTAATTAAAACTGAGTAAAATTACAGTTGCTTAGTAAACATATAATGCTTAATAAATACAGAAAACCATGCTTAAAAGATTTCAAAACGATAAAAGCTTAAAAAAATAAAGAATCTGAAAGTTTTCAGAATTTACATTACGCCCAAAGAGGCGTTTTTTAACGTTTTGTGTGTTTAATTAAATATCACGTACAATGTTGCCATTGCTCGATTTGAAATCTTTGAGTTTGCTAATCAAAATTCGTTAGCTTTACAAAATATAGAATAAATAATTAAGCAAATTCCAAATTCGGGCTCCCAGATGCCCATATTTGTGTGGAAACGCAACATGATTGAAAATTCGATGGCTTTATGTACCGTTACTTTAGGTACAATGCGAGAAACATACATACATTTATGCAGATTATTCATTGCTTAATTTCTTTAAATATCATACAGGGTCTAATATTTGGTGACAACAATTTGAAAAGTGAATCAACGCAAAATGCCAAAACGAAATTAATAGTTCTTCTGGGCAAATTTCCTGTTTGGACTAATAAGTTATAAAATACATTTTTTAATCTAAATACTTTTTCTTGTTACCATTTTTCGCGCTAAAAAGTATGAAATAAAATAATTATGTATTATGGTCAAGAATTCAAATAATTATTTTATTTCATACTTTAAGACATTTATATCAATGGAAACAACATATTTGATAGGGTAAAATTGATAAACCGGAAGTAATTCTTTACTTGAAGCTCTGAACTGACTTTCGTAAAAATATGTTATGAGATAATCCAAAATTTCTCAAACTTGGTATTTTTAGATATCTGATTGAAAAATATATATATTACATTTACAAGCATTAAATATCTTCTTGGAATTATCCTAGATGCAGCGAGAATAAGTTCATTAGGAAGACGAGGTCTCCTTATGAATCAATTAAAGGGCCTCAATGTGTTCCATACAGTTCTCATTGTGTTCCTTTCACTTTTCAGATAAAATGATGCTGTTACCAGATGTTATCTATGGATAATAACTTAATGGAATAACGTAGTAAATATAAATAATATACAGAATATAAAAAGAAATGTGTGACAAACGTTACATTTCTCTGTAGGGAATTCTAAAGATAAGTTCATTTTAATAATATTCTGATTATTAAGTCTTTAATTTGTGAATCTGCAACTCTATATGATTAGAGGATATACTACGATTGATGCGATATTTTCAAATCAAAGCATAAGAACTAATATGTACGTGAGCACGTATAGTTATTATTGTTAGTTGCATGGGAGAATAGAATAATAAAAAGTGTGTTTTGAAAAATACTGATTAATATTATTATTAATGATAATAGTTTATGAAAATGAAATATAATAACAGTAACAATTTCATCTAAAATTAGGCATTTAAGCTAATTGTATAAATTTTAAGTAGAAAAGATTGATTAGTAGTTACTTTGATCATAAGTTTGTTTCTAAAACAAAATAAATAATTAACTATAAATTTGGGGATAGATAGCATTCTATAAGCATGGCACATTACAGTCGGACAAAGTACCTTACTATTACATACAAAAAATTAAAATTAAAGATTAACAGAATTTGTTTAAAATCAAAGTGTTAAACTTGTAGAGGCATTAGGTTTCTTTGAAGAAGGAGACAAAAAAAGGTGCAATGCCCCCACCAGTATTCGAACTCCGGGCCTCTCAAATACGTGTTAAATGTGCTTCCAGCTACACCACGAATGCATGCAGAAAGGAGGGAGAAAATACCTTATATACTCCCTCTTTTAATGGGCGATTGGGATGAGGAGACACAAACGACAAATCCTGGTGGTGACGAATTATCCTCCACCATCTTTTAGTTCGGGCGCCGCTGTCATTAGGTTTTTCTGAAACAGGACACGTGAAAGATATACAATGCGATCTCCGGGACTCGAACTCCGGACCTCTCGAATACCCATTGAGTGTGCTCTCAGTGAGAAAGAAAATACTTTATAAACTAAACAATTAAACATTTGTTCTTTAAAACGATGAAGCACTTTACATGTACGAAATAACTACACGTTTGTTTTGTGGCCTATTATTTTATAATAGGGTACTTATGTGTCCTATTATATTATAATTCTAGATATATATATTTCACAGATTATGATTATAGTATCGGTTTTCATTTCTGCATGTTTTCATATTTTTTAATTACGATTAAGTGCGGACCTTATTTAAATGTACGTATGTGTTTTTATATATCGAAAGTAACGAATCCTAAAAACAAAATTAATTTTTTTTAATATTTATGTTTGTTGTTTTTAAATGTTAGACACAATACATAATATTATGAAAAAGTTTTAGATTTTAATAATTGCTATAATTAAAATTTATTTCATTTTTCTTTTTCAGCTCAACACGATCAAATGCAACTAAGTCCTGTTCTTGTTATTTTAATTGGTGTAATAGCGTTATTCGTCATCTCAGCTGTTGTTATTGTGATCATAATTCGGAGCCATATTCCCAAAGAAAATGCCAGTAAAGGTAATAAAAAATGCGCATTTTTAATTCCATTAAATTTTATAACTCTACTAAAATTAAAAATTCTGGATTTTTTCTCTTTTATCTAACTATTAGTTTCCGGCCATTTCATAAGTTTTTGGTTTTTTATCCATTAAAGCCAAATTTTAGCTCACTGTTTTTTAATTTTTGAACAAATTTTTTGGCAAACAAAACATTATCCGAAAAAATCCTCAACACAGTCTTTTGATATTTTCTCATTTGACAACACGTACATACATTACCTTCATTTAAAAATTCCTTTGGATTAGACGTCAATAAATTTAAATTCTAGAATAGTAACTCTCAAATTTCTTTTGCCTCCTTCTCATCTTTTGTACAAAATGTCAGAATTTCATTCCATTCCTATCCCTAGATCAGTGTGGCGAACCTATGGCACGCGTGCTACAGTCGGCACGCAGAGCCTCATCAGCCGACACGCAACTAAAATATTACTTACTTAATCAATAATCACAATAAAATGATACTATGTAATTTAAATAAGTGTTTAGTCTGTTCTCGAATGCTTCACTTACTTATCACATAATGCCACTGGCATAGGGCCTAAGCCTAAATGTACGATTTTCCTATATCGGCATAGAAATGATATACATATTTATCGACCCAATTTATGACGTTTCAATTGTTTGGGCCAATCATATTACTTGTCACATGGCAAAGAATACGCCAAAGTTGCAGCAGCTAATGTTTGCTAAACGAATTCAAATTTATTGCAGGCTGCCGATCAGTTTTGATACATTGTTAGAGTCTACTTTTCAGATCTATGCATTTTGAGGTAACTTATGAATTATTCAAATTTAATATCTTAAACGGAATGTACAAATATAATGTAAAAACATGCAATTTGATAATATAGCAAAACACGAAAGCTTAGTAGGGAAACCAAGCTTATTCACATGCCTCAGCCAAAATAAGCCCAATAAAACCGAAAAGGATCATATCAGATCTAAAGTTTGAAGTTTAGCAAAGAGATATACGGGTTAATAATTACTGCTGTTCCCTGTTCATATTTGAATCTGCAGCCATATATTGTTGATTCGTAAAAATCCAATTCCTTACTATTGGCTAATAATGTTACCATTTTTTAGTATATGATCGAATTATATTTAATGCTTCATTTTTAAATTTTGTCCTTCCCGAAACTCCATGTCTTGAACCCTCACAAACGACTCGAGCAAAAAAGGCAAAATTCAATCTTGATAGTGGAAGATCATTTTAAGAGACCTGGACAGAATCATTTGGAGTTATTGAACACAATAGAAAAGCATTACGCATTCTGTGCGGGGAAAGTGTTGTGTGTTCCACACCTAAGTGTCAGACGGCACTTTAACACTAACCACAAGATTGCCGAACGTGACGAAGCTGAATGGAAGGTGTTTATTGAAGGGAAGTTGAGGAATTATAATTAATAATTAATAAAAGTTGGTTTTTGCAATTATCTTTCTAAAACAAACCATCTAACGACAGCCACCTTTCAAATTTTACTGTGCCCGGAAAAACACCTAAACCGCTCTCCGATGGGGATTTAATCGAAGAGGTTTGGGGCACGCGACGCCCTCCTCCCCCCCCCCCGAAAAAAAAGGTTTTGGGAACGCGGCCCCAAAAAGGTTCGCCACCACTGCTAGGTTCAGACCACGTGATTTCAACGAAGTTGTAGCGAGTTCGCATAGACCAGTGCTCTCAAATTTCAGTTTCAGGGAAATAATGTCATCAGCCTTTAACTATTATGTATTTAGTTTTAGTTTATGAATATTAAAACTACTTTTATTTACGTTGGGACGTTCCATTATGTATATTTAACCAGGTTATTTAATTTAGATCTTTATTGTCACTTCCCATGCCCATTTTCCTATCATAATGCAAATCAGGTTTAAGAGTATTTAAGGTGATATTTTTGGATTGTAAGACGGAGCGTGTTTCTGCCTCTCGAGGCCACATTATTTGATTTCGATAGCTCAGATAAGATATTAGTCTTCGGGTTTGCCTTGTGATTGTCGACATCTAAATTGTTATACCGGTGAGAAGTTTGAGTCAAATTAGCGTAACATAAATTGTGTGATCTTCATCTACTAAATTTAGTTTTAATTTAAATTTGACTTTTACTTTTGACTGAGTTATCTCGCCACAAATGGTTGGCTGACTTTGTTGAGCACGAGACGTGCATTTTATGCTCAAGGTTCTGATTTTGTAAAAAGATTATTTGTAACATCCTTAAGTCTTTGTCGTTATCTTTAGAAGAGTGATAACTCGCTCCATGTCTGTTAGGCATTTAAACGCCAGGTTACGCTACCAAACTCTGTAAAGTTTTTGTTAATTGTCAGCATTTTTCATACATTTTGTTGTTCAGTTTATTAAAAAAAACATTAAAAATAATTTAAATCTAAATAAATCCACATGTCATTTTCGAGTTCTGGTAAAGAGGGAAGGTAATTATCTCCTAGCAGTGTGAAAGGGGTGCATGGGGCGAAACAGGATGAGAACTATTTGTGTAGACAAAGATAGTCAGGACGGATCTAGCTGCATTTAACCTTTTGCAGTCTGCCAACTAGAGGTTGAAGAAATAAGTCTCGAAGCTCTTTGGGATAAATTTCTTCATTTCAGAGCCCCTGCTATAAAGAATATGTCATTACAGTAAGCATTAAGTAAAGATTTTGAACCTTTAACATGGTAAGGAATGTTACTTTAGTTTTAAATTTGTTCATTGGGGGGGGGGAGACAACGAGGAAAGACAGAAATTCCTTATCATTTATGTCTTCCCTCATTTCTATTTCCTGCCAGTATGATAATTCAATTTCGCATGATATGCAAAGTAGGGTAGAAAGATACTACTATTTAAGCTGTTGTCTGAGTTACTTCAGAGAGAGCATGTTCTGCCGTTCGGCTACGTTGTTCCTCTAATTTAAGCTTGCTCTTTTACGGGCGAGCATATATACTTCCAGTTTGTCTACGTCAGTAGTATGGCGTACGAGTAAACTCGTGTTAGTTATGTCTGTGCGGCTGATTATTCAACTTAGTTTTAATTTTATATATATATTTTTTATTATCTATAGGCAAAAGTATTGGCTAACTTGTAATCACCAGAAGTGCCGTCTGTAAATTACCTTATAAGGAATTTGCTCCCTCTTTCCAACATGCCTTCGTGGTGTGTACTCGGTGCGTATTCGAGAGGTTCAAGTTCGAGTCCCGGTGAGGGCATTGTTCATTATTCATGTTTCCTGCTTCAAAATAATTTAATGACTTTATATTGGTGCCCGAACTAAAAAGTGGTGGACAGTAATTCGTCATCAAAAAGATGTGGCGACATGGTCTTCTAATTACCAGTCGCCGTTTAAAAGGAAGAGTGTATAAGGTATTTTCTCTCTCCTTCCAGCATGCTTTCGCGGTGTAATGGTAGCACACTCGGTGCGTATTCGAGAGGTCCAGATTCGAGTCCGGCGAAGGCATTGCTCTTTATTTACGTTTTCTGCTTCAAAATAACCTATTAACTAAAATTCCTTGAGTTGAATAAAAGAGTCTTTTCACCTTTTCCACGTCTTACCGTTGATACAGTTTGAACTCAGCAAATAGTCGCTTCTAAGTTCAAATAAAGATCTAGCCAGTAAAGTAATTTTAATTTAGCTAGAATCTTAACAGTATAATTGATTTTATATTTCAAGGTAAAGTATTAAAAGTATTTCGGAAATGCCCAAGTTCTGATTTCTTTTAGATTTCTTATTTTCAATTTCCTGCATATAATATAACATTTTTCGGCTCAAAAGAACTATTTTTGAAATTAATTCCATTAAATCATTAATTGAAATAAACTATTACGTAATTTAAAATCTAAGAAACTTAAAAGTTATATTAATTAATTAAACTTTTTATATGCGGAAACGTATTAACTAAAGTGTGACTTGACCAGTTATACTATTTTATAATGCAATTTTTCCCTTTATTTTAATGATAAGACATGTTAGAATAAATATCACATAGCATTTTGCCTTACTTAATTTGCGTTCAGGTTAAAGATATCTAATTTTTTTTTTTTTTTTTTTTTTTTTTTTTTTCAAATACGGTAGTATTATTTTTATGGAAACGTGAAACACCTGGAAAAGCACATTAAACGAGTGTAGTTACGTAAATAACCCATCTGCTTTAGAAAGAATGACTGCAGTTTTCATTTATTCTCCTAATTTACTTTTTGTCTCACTCCAAAAGAGTAAGATTAAAGAGGTTAATAACAAAAATAAAGATAAAATAAAAATATTCTCCTATCTATTCCAAGAAATGTTTCCTCTCGTGCTGAATGATTTAGTGTTTACATAACTTCGTTTTTATTTCGTAATTTGATGCATTTATTTTTGAATGAAATGAATCATTAGTAATTTATAAAATGCTAGTTGTTCAGAAAAACTTTATTAACAATAAGAACTAAAATTGTATGGAGCAGAATTTCTTAAGAGGAACAATGACTTACTGTTTAATGAGGCAACTAGTTTGAAACAGATCTCTAATTTTAAAATCCGTTTCACACCAGATATAATATGAAGCCTAAGAGTAAAATGCGTACGTCGTTTATAACTAAAGTGTTTTTTATGTGAATAGCAACTGTATCATTATTTCTCAACTTAGAGAATTTAAGGTGAATCAATTATTTTTAAAGAGAATTTAAAAAAATATTTTAACATGCTTTTTTTTTATATTACGTATGAGTGAAACATCTTTTTTTTCCTTATGGCAATTACATTTTACTAATGTTTTTTTTTCAGGTTTTTCATTTCAAAATGTTTTAAATTTCGTTTTGGTGTTTTCAAATGTAAACAAAATGTTTTAAATTTCATCTTGGTCCCTCTTTTTGGTGTAAATATTTCATTTTTTGCTCAATTTAATCTTTAAACTTTTTAATACTGCCTTGAAGTCTGTTTTTTTTTTAATACTGCCTTGATCATTTGTACGTGGATGTAGTATATATATATGCAAAAATA